TTGGAGAAAAACCCTAGACATGTTATCTTCTCTCTTAGTTTCTCTCTAGTTTTCTTTCCTTTTTAGTGTAAAAACGTTTTTGATTAAGAGATATCTCAAGAATTTAATCAATCTAAGTCTGTTTCTTATCATCTCATCATCTCATTTCTGCTTCTAATCATGATTAACATCATCTCTTGCAAAAGATTAGATGTGTTCGTCATGATTAGTGAGTAGTCATCTTTTAAACTTCTAGGTGTGTAGATTAGGGTGCTTAGATGTTTGATTTGTGATGTTTAAGGTTTAGATTCTCATTTTATTTCCTTAGTTAGCTGCTCCTAATGCCAGAATTCCTTGGGAAAGTGAAATCTGGGTTCATAGGCATTTCATGCACCAAAAGTGTTTGATGAAATGCCTGAAAGAGCTAACTTAAGGGTTTATGCCTTTTTCATCATGGGAATGATTTGTTAAATGCATGAATGACATATTAGAACTGTTTCTTAATGCTCATTAGTTCATATTTCACAAATGGGAATTTGGTTTGAAAGTGGATTAGTGTAGAGATTAATACCTTCATGAGAGGATTAGTCTAGATTAGAGTTCTAAGTTGAAATGTTTGAGATCATGTGATTGATTGTTATGTCTTTCTGTATAAGATTCAGTCTTGTTGGTTGAGAGATTGTTTGGTCACTTATTAGGCTTGATGCATTGTGCTTGTTGATTGCTTGATTATATCTAATGGTTGTTAGACTTGATTAAGTGATTAGCAAAGGGATTATTGTCATGGGAATGAATTAATCTGATTAAGAAGCCTAGACTAAAGAGTAGCAAGTGCTGCATTATGTTCTTAGCATCATGAATCAATATCTAAAGCACCCTAATCGATGATCACATCTAGAGGTTTATCTTTCATCATTTGCTTTATCATCATTTTGTTTGCTTGCTTATTTAGTAGTTCATTAATCATTTCTTGTTTGTTTCTTGTTTATGCTTTCTTGTTGCTGGTTTCACCAAACTCATCTTTTATTCAGCTTGACTTAAGAACTTATCACATAAACTAGTGTCTAGCAAACACACATTTGGATTGATACCCTTTGTACTACAAGTAACATAAGGGATTGATAACCCTTATTAAGGCCTTGAAAACCTTAGTTATCATGGCAAACGCTTGGAGATATAGCACAGTAAAAATATCTTTGTTTACTTAAAGACCAAGTAAGAACAACTAACCAACATTAAATTTATTATTATATAAACAAATCTTGCCATTAATTATTTAACATAATAATTAAACAAATCTTGCCATTACTAACTAACTTATTAATTATTTTTGTGGTTATTTTATAAGTATTAAAATTGAAATGAATAACAAATTTGATAACACCGTAAAATGACAATAAAGGCATTGTATTCGGTTTGGAAGATCATTTAGTTAGCATCAATTGTAATCTACTGTAAATCATAAAAATTATGATAACATAAAATATATTTAAAATAGTTATAATAAAAAGGTAACAGTTCAAAGTTTAACTTCAAAGAAATCCGAAAAATAAAACTTAAGTCTTAACATTCAACAAAGAAGGAGGACATCACTCCTGTTGATTACTGACATGAAATAAAAGATAGTTAAGAAATAGAAGTTCAGGATTTGATGAAATCAAACTACACATTTCTTGTTCCAGAAGATGAAGCATTTTGGGCCGAATCCCTTAGCTTTTGCCAAATCCTGAACACATACATAAAATAAAAATAAGTAAGGATACCTAAATGAATTTTAAAATTAAAAATGTGATTAGTAAGTTAAGAGAAATTATTACTTGGCACGGAGAGTGTATACTTCATCAACTACTGGATGAACTAAGAAACGTGAGAGCTTTCCTTCTTCAAAATCAGTGATCGTAATTTCATCTGTCTAAACAAAAAAAAATATAAGGAATAAAACAACTTGATTAAAAAATATAGTATCAAAACAACAATAAATACATAATAGTTACTTACTCAGATTTTTCTTAACTACCCAATCAGTCAATACACATATGGGAGTTGGTCCTTTCAGTAATCGCAGTTCGATTTTTCCTTGATATCATAAGCCAAATCACCATGTGCGACACAGTTAAGTGTATTACCCGTAGAGATAAACAAAAATTCTTACTAAATAGACATTTCTATAATCATAAAATAAAATAAAAAAATAGTAGAAGGCATTACTCTATATCACTGATACGAAAATGTAGGGTTGGAACATTGTTCTCATCATTGAGATCTTCAACAACATCTCCAATCTCCTTATCAAAAATACCCAGAAAATCTGAATAAAAAACCCAATCATCAATGCATGTCTATATAACATAACATAACTTTTTTTGGTTTTGATTCCATGAAAAACAAAAAAGAGACTTACGCATTTTAGACACAAACCGAATATTAGTATAAAGAAACATACCGATCAGATAGTAGTGAGAAGGACGGTTATAAACACTTGGAAAATCAACGATTTTGATGAAAAGATCATGGGTCAAAGGTCTGATAGAATTCACTTTTGTTCTCTGATTGAGTATGATCTTGTAAGCATGATTAGTGGTTCTTTCATTCCAATCGAAGTTAACCAAGCGAAACTGTGAAAGTCGAACCCAACAGCCTTCTTGGAAAACCCTCTTGTAGTAAGAGAGTTTGAAGTCATCAACCGTAGCAGCAACTCGAGATCCCTAGCAAATTATAATCTTTAGTCAAATAAACAACAATTCACAACCAACATATAAATGAATTATTTGGAAAAAAAAATCTAATCTTACACTTTCATCAACCAAGATGAAATACATTCCTTCATGGCCTTGTGAATCAACCGTATCCCATCTCTTGAGTACCTTAACTTTGATTGTCTGCTTGAACTCCTCCCATGGTGTGAGATCTTTAACCATTGAATAGTCAGCCATCTTTTTGATGCAGAGATATTGATGAAAGTTTTTAGATTTTCTCTTTGTTAAGGATGAAGTTATGGACAACTAAAGGTACTATATATATAGAAGATATAGAAGATTTATTAGGTAAGGTCGCGATGGTTGGAATAAATTTAATCGCAATAAATACAAAAATGGAAGATTTCTTTTGTTAAAAAAGGAATAAGTTAACCGAATATCCTTTTGATGAGAACCACTGAAACCTTTAATGAATGTTAAGAGCTAGTTGACTGGAAGTTAGTTCTAAGTGTGTAGATTTTCGCATGACGGATTAACGGACTAGTTATGTTTGTATTTTGGTGAAAATTTTCTAGACTTGATCTGACTGATGCAATGTCCATAATTAAGGTCTAGAAGTATGGTTGCTGATATTTTTGAGTTCCCTCTCATTTTTGTTGAATGATATTTTTCCAGATTAGATCTTGTTTTGTTTGAGGACAAATAAAGTTTTAAGTCTGGAGGAGTTGATAACACCTGATTTTGACCATTTTTCACCATTGATTTCAAATGCTTTTTCAAAGGTTTTACTTTGTTTTAGGAACTTTTATTATAATTTCCATGTATTTGTAGTTTCAAGGCTCTTTTCAGGAAACTTAGGGAATATGATGGCAAAATGGAAGAAATCCACATTTTTAGCTCAGAGTCAAACTGTCAGAAGTTCAGCCTCAAATAAAGACGTTTTCACAGTCCGATCCAGCTCAAATTTGGAGACAATCAAGAGGAGACAACCAGCTTTCCATAGCACTTTACATCACAAAGATCCAATGGTGCAATCAAAAGATACATGGAGAACAAGTTGACCTAGTTCATCAGTCCCGGAAGACTCTCACCCGCGGGAAACACGTGTTTTACCTGCCCTGGAAGACTCTCACCTCCGGTGGACCTTAGGACGAGCCACAAGGCCCAACATCAAAGCCCACTTCGCCATTTCTCTTCAGAGAAGCCCTAAATGAGACTTGGAAGACCTTAGGACCTATAAATACATTGTCTAGCAGTCCTAAACGGGTGTGTGCTCCTGTAATGAGATTTTGAGCCACCAAACTTTGTTTTTTTTAGGTTAGGCGATGGAGATGGGGATTCTTCCCCAGATCCATTGTTTTTTCTCCTTTTTATCTTATTAACTTTTCTGTTTCATTCTTTTGCATTTTTCTATGTCTTTTATCATTCATTGCATCATGTAGATTAGTCCCAGAGAGTCAAATTGTTTGAAGATATCGACAAGCATATATATCGATTAGGATTTCTATTGTTCTTAGTCATATTCTGGATCTCATCTCTTCTAAGTTATTCGTAAAGCATGAGAGTAGATTCATGACCTATTCTCTGAGCCTAGGATCGATCAGAGCCACGAGAGTGTTGTATCAGATCATCCATACCTAGCTTTAGAAGAACATAGTCGCTATAGGAGTCGAAAGCTACCTATTGAGAAGATGTGAGCAGACGAATTCAGTGTTCATAGCATGATCTTAAGTTTAGCATGAGAGCGAGAGTTAATTGCTAGATCTAAGAGATTAGTTGATTAAGGTGACGACAGTTGGTTAATCATACATGTGTCTATTCTAGTTCAATGCAGATTCCTAGAAACAGATGAAGATAAATCGTCCGGAAGCTATTTGGAAATGCCACCATGCATCAATTAGAGTAAACCGGAGAAGTATAAATCGCCACCTATGAGTTTAAGAGTCTTTAGTTTGAGTCGATATTCTTTAGATGTTCTTTTAACAATTCATCCTGCATTGCATCTCTTGTGAATATTAGATTAGGTTTAGTTTAGGATCTTAACCCAAAACCCCATATCTTTTATTGGTTTATGAGTTTGCTTACTTCCCAGTTTGTTGTTTCTTGCAGATTAGACATCCTCCCTGTGGATCGACACCCTAAGTCCTACAACGTACATCTGTGCACTTGCAGACACTAGGGTTTTTAAATTTAAAACTTTTGGAGAACCAACGGGCTTGTTAAAAAACAACCCTAGGCCCGCAAGCCCATCAATCTACTTGCAAAACGTGGAACCTTATATCGAAAAATCATATTTTAGGTCAAACAGAGCAAGGGAAACAGTATATGGGGTTCATGGTGATGGATTCGAAGCTTTGTTTAATGGATTTCAATCTCCAAGGAATCTCAAAGAACGTCAAGCCAACTATAAAGCAAGTAAGCATATTTAACCAAGCTAAGAATTTGAAAATCCGTGACTGGGAGTGGGACGGTCACTGGAAAGGTAACTTGGTTGATCCATAAAGCAAGCATGTATACTTAACCAAGCCGAGATATGTGAAGTCTTTCACTGGGACAGCTTACTGTTATGGGTTATCAAAGAGAAAAGGTGGGTCGTGGTGTGGAACCCGTATTTGGGGCAGATCAGGTGGATCCAACCGATGAAAAGGTTTCACCAGGCAGACATGTATGCTCTCGGATACGATAACAACAACAACAACCGTAACCATAAGATCTTGAGGCTTTTGGATGTTTTTAAGTGCTCATACATCCTTCTCTTTTTCGAAATCTATGAATTTTACTCTAATGTATGGAGAGTTCTTGATGTCAATCCGGGCTGCCATGTAAAACCTGGCGCGTCTTTGAAGGGAAACACTTACTTCTTCGCTCAAGAAAAATTAACGGCTCAAGGGTCACAATTTGTTTTACTATGTTTTGATTTTACATCGGAGAGATTCCGACAGCGTCTTATTCTGCCGTTTAACTCTAGCGTTGGGAGTTCGAAAATTGTGACTCTATCTTGTGTTAGAGATGAGCAGCTCGCTGTGTTACATCAACGCAAAGATTATATAATGGAGATTTGGATTATGACCAAGATTGAGCCCAATTCAGCATCCAGGAGCAAATTCTTGAGAATGAAATTGAATCCGACAAACTTTATGGCTGAGAGTTTCTTCATTGAAGAGGAGAAGAAAGGCACTATTGTTTCATTCCGCATAAATAAACCTCCCTACCAAAGAGCTTATATCATTGGAGTAAATGGATGCGGAAGACCTGTGAATAGCGGAAAAGCTAGGAAACTTGGATCTGACTATTATAACCAACTTGTGTTTTCTTCGTATGCCCCAAGTTTAGTGCAACTACCAATAAACCGACGGGGCAAAAGGAAAGAAAGAGATTATTATTATTATTAATTAAATTGTTCTTTTTGCGATATTTATTTCTTGTTAATTTTTTGTTTTTCGAGCTGACACTTGCTATATGAGTCTCTATGGTTGGTTTAAAATTTCGGTATTTTATCTAACTCTGGATCGTATTCAGATGATGAAGTTTATGTTTCTATTTAATCAGTCACCTTTGCTCCACGTCCATTGTTGTGTTTAAGGAGATTTGTTTTATGTCGATTGACGTAGCTTTAGGACTTAACTATCTGTTCGGTCACTTCCCGTCAATTTAGCTTTCTTGTGCTTCCAGTCAAATAAGAAAGATTGCATTCGAACAATTTGAGGGTCGTAAGATTTCATTTTGTAATACTGAAAAATTAACATCATCCTGTAATTTTAGTTTTAGGTGCTTTGCATGTTGTGACTATATATATTCTATATATTAAATGAGAATGTAGTTTAATGAAAAATCCAATTTGTTTTAATTTGATTGGCTTAGAAAAACTCCGTTACCAACGTCAATGATGACGTTTATTCTAAGTCAAATGTGACATAATGTGACATGGCAAGGACGCTACCTCTGCGCAATTTCATTGGATGCTGATGCTGATGTGTAATTTCTGTCCAAGTTTTTCTGTTTTAAAATAAATAAAAATGAGAAAATCATAAACGGATAAACACGCGGATCTTTGTAACCGACCCGGCCCAATTATCTGTATTTTAAAAACATTCTTTGGCCCAATACTTCATACATGCTCATTTATCAAAATTTTGAAATTATGGTTCTAAAAAACTTTTCCGCGTAAAAAATTAGAATATTTTCCCAAAATGAAAAATTACAAACTATTAGCAAGATTTACCGGAGTTAATGTAACATAATATCCAGAAACCTTAATATTTCAAAAAGAAACAAGAATTTATCTTACATTTTAATATTACACGTCAATTTTGGCAATTAAATCAATTTGAATATATTGATTCTCAAATATTTCCGCAACAATACCTACTTCTACGCACATTCCGAATATCCATATTCTTCATTTCATTCTTTTTTTCAAAATAATTTCAGTCCCGTCTAATATCAATTTTAAAATGTTCTCATTAACTTTCTCTCCTTATATATACCACATATCCTAAACCCTAAAACTCTACCATTCTCATTCATAAAAATGGCTTTAGTCCACAGACGTTCGGCTGCTATAGTTTCATTTGCCAAATTAGATCAATCAAGTGAAATTCAGAAAGTTAGAGCTACTATATTTTCCTTTTGAAAAGTCAAGAACAGGCAGTCTGGCTTTGTTATAGAAATGGTTTTAGTTGACGAAGAAGTTTGTATGCGATCTTATGTATTTTGTATATTGTTATTTAATCAATCTATAGATTATATAGTAATACTATTTATGTGTGATTCACAGGGCACTAGGATTCATGTTACTGTTGATGAAAAATTGATCGGCATCCTTATAGAAGGAAAATCACTTTCTATTAATTGCTTCATCATTAAAGAATACTATGGTGATTTTAGGACTACTCCATTACCATACAAAATCGCTTTGTGCAGAACCACCCGTGCTAAAGAGATTAATGATTTCCCATCAGACTTGCCAGAAAAATATTTGTCTGATTTCAAGTCAATCAAGGAAGACAAACTCGACAAAAATGTCTTCATCGGTATGTTATCATCGATATTTTGATAATTATATTCTAATACATATTTATCATTGTATAAAAATATTTTGTCTTCAAGATGTCATTGGACAAATTGTCACGGTGGGGAGTATGAAAGTTATAAAAACTAAATGCAAAAGTGGGATCAGCGAGAAATTGATGATAACACTCCGGGATACCAAGTAAATAGTTATGATATCATACCAAAATAGACATAACAATATTTTAACAATGGAATGCTAATATGTTTATTGCTGAAGCGATGTCCAACTGAAATGTACACTATGAGGACAATATGCAAAAGCAACTGTTGAGTACACTAACAAACATATGGCTACTATTTCTGTTTGTGTAATGCGATTTGTCTGTATAAAAGAGTACAAAGGTTAGATCACTATATCACATATTCATATGTACACAGTTCATTAGTTTGTTAATTATTCTTATTTTATGTTTTTTGAGTATAGGTGATATTTCAATATCAAACGCTTTCAACTCCACCAAAATTTTGTTTGATCCTGACGTCAAGATCATGAAAGACTTCAGAGAAAAGTATGTTATGTCATTTTAACATTGTTGTATTTATATAATTATTTTGTATGGTTTTGTAGGTTGCCAAAAAACAATCAAATGATTGTGCATGCTGAACAAAGTTATTCGACTTCTTGGGGTGGTGCTATTGACTACCATTAAGAATTTTTAGGTGTGAAAAATAGGAGGCTGATGGTAGCTGTAATTCATGATACAAAAATGGTATGAGCTATATTTTATTCGTCGTACAAATATATTTACTTTTCACTATATACATATTAATGGTTTTGTTATAGCTTGGCAAGATTGTAACATGTGTAACAGTCAAAGACGTTGACACTTCAAAGCTGTGGTATTATTGGGCATGCAAACCTTGCAACATCAAAGTTTTAGAGCATGGCATTATGTCTGATAATGAAGATTACGATAAGAGGATTCCTCTTTTCAGTTGCAAAACTTGTGGAGATATTTATTCATATGATACCATTATCACAAGGTAATACAATGATTTTTCCCATAAAGTCAAGAAAACATTACTTATTACGTTAAAGCTTTCTTTGGTAAGATATATAGCAGATATAGCAGAATTATTTCATGTAGACTTTCTCTGATTGACTGACTAAATGTTCGCCTTATTTTATTACATTGATTCGTCCCATCATACATTTATTCGGACACTACATTACATGTTGATTCATGTAACGTTTAAATAACTTACTCTTCTGTTTCCTTACAAACTATGTATGTACTATATTGTATTATTTGTAACTGATGATTCAGACGTCGATGTGCACTTCCTGATGTTTGATGACACTGCTCAAAGACTGTTAAGTCATTCAGCTGAGTCTATAATGGAACAAAATAATGAGGTTATTGGTTAAATAATTGTATACATTATGCATTATTTACATTTTCTGAAATAATATTAATCCATTTAATATAATGCTGCGCAGGATTTACCAAGAGGGCTCCCTAATGGCTTGACAAAGCTCCTAACCATGAGGATGCTTTTCAAAATAACAGTTTCAGAAGAGCATACAAAAGGAAGACAGTCTTCGTATGTAGTAGAACTATGGTCTCAAGATGTCGACATTATGACTGAGTGGGATTCTCGATCAGAGGTAATATATAATAAATTTTACAGACTTCTCAAGCTTGCTTATCTGATCATTTAGTTATATTAAGTCGTCAATGTTTTATATTTCAGCAACCGTTGATGCTTATGAGTTCTGACGAACTTGAGAATCCATCGTCTGGATCTTCACTCACTCCTTCATTTAAGAAGCTAATTAAGAGTCCCGACTATTTTGATGAAGGTGAAAGATCTGTTAACAAAAAGCGACCTAAGCAAGAAATTCCGATGAAGTTATGAAGAAGCAAGAAACTGTAATGAACTTAGTGCAGAAATACATTGCTGGTGATTGATTATTGCTTTTGATCTTTATAACAAATTTGTCCAATGGGTGGATAACGTTTGAACTCTATTCGTTATTTTTTGCAGTATTTGTGAAACTTTTTTGGCATATTTTTATTTAATTGTGGAACTTGAATGTTGCCCTAGATTTGATTGTCTAATTCAATTTTTTCAGACTTTAATTTGTCATTTAATTTTTTTTTGTTTAACCAACTGTCATAAATTTTGACAAGAGTTTCAATTAAGACGACATTAAAACCATAACCGTTTTACTCCATCACATAGAAAACTATTCATTTCCTTATTATCTTTCATCTTCAATCTTAACAAAAAAATTAAAACAAAGAATGTCTCCTTGTTAAATAGTTTCCGATCTCCAGAAGACAAACGGCGGATATCATATTTGTGTTTAGATACTAAGAGATTATGATGATTATACTCTTTTCGATCGACCTAATTGGATGTTAGTTCTTGCGGATGAATTTATAAGTTTTGGAGGTTTGAAAAGATTTTCCGTATATATGTTTTAGGAATGTATTTGTTAATTATTTATTTTTATAAACCGTGTATTTGTTAATTATTTATTTTCCGTATATAATCCTGTCTACTATTCAATATGACAAATGCCGAATTTCGAGTATAAATTGGTTGAAGGAGATTTGTATTTTCTTGGTAATTTTGAAGTTACTGACAGAGTGATTAGTCCAAGTATATCATCAAACAACTATCATATACATTTCCTCGAGGAGACTATTGTTGAGAAAACCGATCTGAAGTCTTCTAGAGGAATATAATTTTTTTGTGCATTCATAAATATTTTATATAGATTTATTCATACAGACAGATATCTTGGTATGTTTCTTATAACTTTTTATTTTAAATCGTTTATCTAAGGAGCTCCAACATGAATTTTAAAGTCAGTCCTTTATTTTTACAAATGATCTTCTCGGGATTGTCACCTTTATTCAGAAACTTCAATTAGGATTTCCTATGTCCGATACATCAGACACACCCACACAACGTCCATTTATTCGTTTTATAATAGAATATTTCAAGTCTGTACAACGTCCACTATTGTTTACAAATTTTAAAGTATATTAATAATGTTCTAAATAATTTAAATATACAATGGATAATCTTTGAAATGTATTGATTAGGATAACTTGGCAAGAAAATTTGAAAATTTTTGGAGGAATTGTGAAAGGTCTTTTAGGAATATTATTGCATTGCGATTTTTCTCTTTCATTAGATGAAGATGTACCTAAATAGTAACTACCTCATTATTTGATATTGTCAATTAATTACAAGTTTTACATATATATTTTTGAGCAAATTGGCCAAATGGGTAGTTTTAAGTTTTTAATTTGCTGAAAGGGTGTGTTTTGAAAAAGTGAATGTGTTTGGGTAGTTTTTGTGTGTCAATAACTATTTTATCCTTCTAAGTTCAATTTATTTATATTGTTATGCCATTATAATTAAATAAAAAAACAAAAGGAGAGAGAGAAAACAAATGGCAAGAGAAGAGAGAGATACGTGAGAAAATATAAGAAAAGCAGACTTTTATTAAAAAAATATTATTTTCTCTTTCCTCTTTTTTTTTTATTTCTTTTCCTCTTATAATTCATTCATTCTTATATACTATTTTAAATAATAAATTATATAACAATATATATCTTAAAAATATATAGATTTTTTGCTACACATTTTAAAATTTGAAAATTTTAAAACGGACAAAATTTTAATTTTTTCTAATATTTAAGTTATGTATATATTAGTTATGTATAATTCAGACATATATACTTCAGTTTTATATAGATTTATATACATATGGTATTTAATTGAAGGTATTAACTTGATTTTCAATCGAAAGTATTAAATTAACTTTCAATCGAAGGTATTAAATTGACTTTCAATCGAATGTATTCACCTGACTGGTGTACACTAGATGGTATACTTGATAGTTGTACACCAAATGGTAAATATCTAATAAGTGTACACCAAATATTGAACATTTTTGAGTAAATACCTTATAGTTGTACACTTCATGGTGAATACTTGATAGTTGTACACCAAATGGTGTATACCTTAGAGTGAATACCTTCTGCTGTACACCTAATGGTGAATACCTTTATGTGTACACCAAATAAATGAACACCAAATGGTGAATACCTTCATGTGTACACCAAATCATGAATATCTTGGGATGAATACTTTCCTGTGAATACTTCCGAGTGAATATCTGATAGTTGTACACCAAATGGTGAATACTTTTGAGTTAATACCTTTGAGTGTACACCAAATGGTGAATACTTTCATATTTGTGTATAATAAAAAAAAACAAATATCGTCCGTTTTAAAAAATTCAAATTTCAATGTGTTAGAAGATAATATATATATAAAAAAAGAAAAAATAATAATATTTAAATACATACTTTTTCTCATCTCTCACACTCTCTCTCACACACTCTCTCTCACGCTCTCCCACTCTCTCTCACGCTTTCTCACACTCTCTCACACTTTCTCTTTCCTATTTTTGTCTAATAAGGGCTATATGGCCATTTAAAATTTGTGACTGTTCAAAAACTACCAGATTTACACATGAATCCACAAACACACCCTTTTGGCCAATTAAAAACTTAAAACTACCCTATTTGCTAAGATGCTCTATATTTTTCCATATATTGAGTATGTCTATGTAATTAGATGAATGGATAGTTGAATCGGAAATATTCATATCTGATATTCTCGAGGATCCTCCTACTCCAGAAGTGGAAAGAGCAAAGTTGAAGTATGTTTATTCCATCTTTGATATTGTATCCTATATTTTAATATTTATGAATATATATATATATATATATGTATAATAATAAAAAATCCTAATATTATTTCAGGCTTGCAACTTCAATTGATTTTACTCCGGTCTACGATGAATATGAAGAGCAGTCTCAGTAAAAGAGATTATTGTTTCATATTTCTTATTTTTATAGTGTTAAACTTGGAAATCTTAACTTCTATATTATTTTGATTGAGATAACTTATTCCATGACAAAATATATATTTTATAAAAAAAAATTAATTGTGTTAGCATTTTTTCGTGAATCGTAATCTATTTTTTTCTACAAAAAAGTAACTATGAGATTTTAAAATTTTGGATGGTCCGTGATATATGTCTGTATTAAAAAATAGAGTACATAAATTCTTGTATTATACTCTCATTAATTTTTTGTAATTAATGAAAGGAAGTAATTGACTTATCTAAAGAGAAATAGTCAGTACCAGATTTGACATTTTTTTACCATCTTCACATATTTTTCTATATATATTTAATCAATATAAAAGTCAAATATACCTATGAATTGAATGTAACCAATTGGTTTGTTCGTAAGTCACCTGGTGCAATAAATGTCAATAGTTGCAATTTATTCTAATTTTACAAAACGACACAACCTTTCAAACCCTATACTTGCTTTGCTATACATATAAAGCGTTTGAAAAAAAACATCTCGCCATCTTAACTAAAAAAAACCTAAAGTCCCAGAAAACAATCACTTTCCTCAAATCATGCCTCGCTATTGTACCATTGAGTATCTTTCTCCCACAAAATCTGACGCCAGAATTCTTATAAAAGTTCTAAGAGTTTGGGAACACTTCAACTACTGTAACTAACGCTATGAATTGCGTCTTATCCTCGGTGACGAAAATGTAAGTTCATCTTTTTGAAGATTTTTTTCTGTTGCATGTTATGAAC